GAAAAACAGAACGTATAACAATGCAAGACAGAAAGATCGTCAAGGGTGCATATTACTACATAGATTCAAGTGATGAAAAAAGATTAAACACATTAAATTAAAAATAATGTCCGCACCGCTTTCAGATTTCTGCACTTCGAAATAATCCGCAAATACCCCCCCTTACATCCAGTTTAAAATGCTCAAACAAAGGGTTCTTCCGGGACCACTTCCATCTTCTGCCATCTGGCAGAAGGTTCCGGTCACTCCAGTCGCACACAGACTGTCAGACCTTATTATGATCTCTCCAACATCCTTCTGTACCCACAACCACTGTACTCCTACACCACCACACACACATGTAAGCCAAAATTGTACTGCCCCCTCGATAGCCCAGTAAAATTGTAACAGGCATAATAATATTTAATATTAATTAAACATACTACTTTTAACCACACTATTTTTTGCACTGTTCCAAGAATTACCTTGCACTGTTTTTGTCCTGTTAAATTTTCTCTTCGGAATTTTGCACAGTTTTCGATGACTTGATTCCATGTTATTTATGTTATGTTATGACATGTTACTGTTATTGCTATTGCGTAGCTGCCCATTGTCTCATCCTCTGTCCTATTGATATACTGCACCTGAGTGACTCATGAGAAACACTTTTCATGATACTATGCACCTGTGAAGGTTTAATGACAATAAAGTTGAATTGAATTGAATTTTGTGTGTATATATATATATTGCCAGTATAATCAATTTATTACAAACGCCATTTTAATATGGTTTTCGATGGGGCTGAAACTTAACATCTTTTTCATCCAAACAAATATCAGTATTGGTCTCTTTTTTTAATATAGCTCTGCAACTTAGTCCAGAATTATTTATTTTTTTACCCTGGGACATAACCAAAACCCTCTCTTTTCTTTTTTTCTTCTTTAGAATATACTCTCTCTTTGTGCTTGTATTACGATGGTTCTTGAACTCTCGGAGGGCGGGACGCATTCCTTGTGAGGGCCGAAAAAAAGGTTCATTAACAACAACAAAAAGTCTCCTTCTTTGGGTTAATCCTGTTTTGGAACTCCCAGGGGAAAGGAGACGCAGGCCAGAGACCGATTGAAGAGAGGGAGAGACGGGCCTTTGTTGTGGTCCGGGCTGTTCAGAATCGGCTTTTATACACAAAGGGGATTATAGGAAGGGAAATTTAGCACTGGGGGGGGGTGGATTTTGTATTAGGGTGCTGGGTGTTTCTTGTTTACCACCCCACGTTTATATAGGATTTCGTCTTAAAGGGATACCGCATTCTGGGTGAAACGCAGGCCTGGGGGGACACGGTGTTTTGTCAATAGTGTGACTTGTGTTTTGACATTAATGTTACTGTAAAGAACCGGTCCCTGCCACAGATTGTGGTGAAAACAAGCATTTTTTGGTCATTTTTTTGTTTGACATCCGACACGCACGGAGAAACTCCCCCCCCTCCAAAGCCACGCAGAATCTCCTCGAAATTTCCACGCATCGAAATGAGGAGTGAAGGGATACGGGTCACCGAGAGCGGTTTGACCGCGTAGTGGTTCTTATAAAGCGCCTTTTCTTGACTTGGACGATCTCTCTGGTGGTGGGGACGGGG